AGTCTGCAGAGGATCCTGACAGCAGAGCGACTGTTGATCCAGTCTGCTGGGGATCCTGACAGCAGAGTGACAGTTGATCCAGTCTGCAGGGGATCCTGACAGCAGAGCGACAGTTGATCCAGTCTGCAGGGGATCCTTACTGCAGAGTGACTGTTGATCCAGTCTGCAGGGGATCCTGACAGCAGAGCGACAGTTGATCCAGTCTGCAGGGGATCCTGACAGCAGAGCGACAGTTGATCCAGTCTGCAGAGGATCCTGACAACAGAGCGACAGTTGATCCAGTCTGCAGAGGATCCTGACAGCAGAGGGACGCGACAGTTGATCCAGTCTGCAGGGGATCCTTACAGCAGAGTAAAATAATCCTCCATCACCAGCGGGGGTTGAAAGGCAGCTGTGTGATGAAGAGGACAGAAGCTCGGAGGAAGATGAAGATAGTGATCAATGACTTCCTGTTTTTTAACCAGCTGTGTCACCAGCACTGTTGTGAAAAAAACATTTATATGTATTTATGTATGTTACTGGTAAATATTTAAAAGTTAAAAAAAATTCCTATGTAAATATCTCATGTTACAATGTGCACATCCACAGCTTATAGACATGTGTGGCCTAAATATGTACTTTTTTTTAGTGGGCGTGGCTTAAGTTCATGCGCACTCAGTAGTCTGGAAATTACAGTAAACGTCTTGGAAAAATACACTGAACACCTTTAGATTAAGAAAGGCAACTTTATTTTAGGTTGTTGTGATTCAAGAACTAGAATGAAAAATAAAAATTGCAAAAAAGCAAACAACTAACTTTATTTTTTATGTGCACATTTATTTTTCATTCAACCTTTATTTGTACAGGTTAGTGTCATTGAGCCTCGAGGACTCGTTTACAAGAGAGTCCTGATTTAACCAAGAACACAGACGAGGTGCAGACAACAACAACAACAACAACAACAACAATCATAAAAAACATATAAAATGAAAAGTAAATAAATGATATTACAACGAAACAACAGCTTCTTTATAAAGTGATATGAAATATAAAAACGAACACGTCTGCGGTGGTTTTTCCCATGAACTTATCAGATGTTTGAAGCCACTTGGAGAGGTCAAAGGTCGAGAGCTTCAGATCTTTTTGTAAGGTGTTCCAGGAAACAGGAGCGGAGGAGGAGAAGGTCCTTTCAGTCTAATATATTGTCACAACAGCCAGTTTTTAAAAGTCCCCTGTTCCAGGGTGAAAAGGAGGAACAGGAAGCACCGCCCTCTGTCCGTGCATGTTGTGGCAAACTGGGTTGTCATGTCAAAGTCAGATGTCCACCGCCGTGTGTACCGTGGTGCTGAAAGTTTGTGAACTCGTTATAATTTTCTGTATTTCTGCATCAGTCTGACCTAAATTATCTTCACATTTCCACACAAGTCCTAAAAGTAGATGAAGAGAACCAGTTCAACAAACAAGAGCAAATATTAATCTTGGTCATTTATCAATGGAGGACAATGATCCGGTATAAAGGAATGCATATCGCCCGCCGTCTTTCAGGCCAGAGTTTGATCTTCTCATGGTGGGAAACGAGCTGCGGCTGAAGGTCCAGCTCCAGGATCCTTTAGCTCTCAGAGTTCATGTAGGACCAACTCTCAGGAACTACCACACCAAATTCAGCTCAGCACCTGCCAATTTGTTTTAGTGTTAATGAGCTGTGGCACATTCCTTTCTGATCGTTTCCATAAAACCTGTCCCCTTGTTTACATTATTGGGTGGACGCGCGCACACACACACACACACACACACCAACGATATTGTCCTAACCTGAAACAGAACCTGCTGCTCTGGTCGTGACCTCTGAGATGGGATCAATAGTTGGAGCCAGAGGTCAAAGGTCACTCTCTCTGACTGTATAAAACAGCAGGTCTGGAAATCATTTGTCATGGATTTATTGATCAGCTGAATAAATGTGTGTGTGTAAACACACAGAGCAGAGGGTCACGTGTCTGGTCTGCAGGCCAGTTAATCTTCCTCCTCCTCCTCCTCCTCCTCCTGGTCTTTAAAGCCCACAGCTGCAGTCTGATGAACACCTTCCAGGATCTGCTGCTTCATTTACGCGGCACAATGACGCGCGTGGCCGCTCTCCTTCCTCTCATTTTGTCGTTACTTCTGAGCTGCGCACGCGCCTCCATCCTCTGCTCGTGGACCAGAGTCCTGCCGAACCACACAGTGCACGTGAGTTTTGTCCGGAGCGAGCCCGCGCAGGGCCGTGCCTCCGTGCGCCTGTACCACGCCTCCTGGTCCGGCCGGAGCGCGCTGCTCGGCTGCACGTGGACCGACGACGCAGCGCTCGTCCGGAGCTACGTGTCCGCGTGCCGCGAGCGCGCGCTGGAGTTTTCCTCTCCCCCACGTGGAAACATTAGTTTGCGCTCCGTGTTTGAGGCGGGACAGTGCGCGCCTCTGGCTGCTCCAGGGAGGAGGCACGTGAGGAGCGCTGGAGGTCAAGGACACCAAAGGTCAGAGGTCAGGGTTC